CGACGTCGTCGTCGTCTTCGTCGTCGTCGGCGTCGGCGTCGTCATCGTCTTCGTCGTCTCAGAGCAGTCTGCAAGCAGCTTCGAGAACTACCAGACCCACGCGACGACTTCGCGCCCTGGGAACGAAGAGTACAGTCTTCTCTCCCTGCCTGGAAGCGCCTTCTCAAGGAGGCCATAGCAGGACCGGCACGAGCTGACGCGAACGCCGCTCTTGCAGACGGCGCCGCAAAGAAGTTTTTCTCCATCGTCCAGCCTAGCGGCTTCCCGCTGCCCATCACGGATCCCGACCACCCATTACGACAGGCAGAAGTTACTCCACAGCCAGATCTCACATGCCCATGGTGTGCGTCCCACTTCTACAAGCCCAGGTCCCTCAGACAGCATATATTTCAGAATCACTTCCGTATGGTGTCGCAGGTTGAACGATTTCTGGGACGCAGCTCAGAGTGTCAGGCCTGTTGCACTGACTTCGCCTCGAGAAGGCAGTTACGCGATCATCTTGCCTACGGTTCGGCTCGATGTTGTCTTGCGTACATGTGCAGAGGTCCGCAGTTGGTACATGAGGAGGCGGTACTGGCCGCTGAGGAGGATAGGATGCTGTGTGCTAGGAGGAGGAAGGACGGTCTGGGGCGTTGGCGTACGGCATACCCTGCCACCCTGGGCACCAAGGAATGTCGTTGGGAGTCTGCTTTGGTTGTTTCGCACTTCTCGGAGAAGGAGGCCCGCCAAGTCCTGCAAGAGACCCACTACGAGTTCCCCATGGAGGTCCTACCGATCCTACTACGCGCCTGGCACGACTCCTGCGGGGCCCCTGCAGCAGAACCACCACAGGCCCAGTTCGAGGATCGTTATTATATTTTCCGACCTAACGACTACTGTGGCATATCTACTATGGCTGTGCCGTACCGGTTGCGACGACCTGAAGTATTCACATTGAACCTCTTCTGTGGTCGGCGCCGACAAGGCGACATACAATGGCATTTATCCGACCTCCAGGCCACATCTGACGTCCAGGTTACCACGCTGTCCTTGGACATTGCAATAGATCACATCTGGGGCGATCTGACTCGGGAGGCTACGATACAAGAATGGTCAGAGCATATCCGTCACCACAGGGTCTGGATTACAGGGGGGGGCCGCCATGCGAAACTTGGAATGCCGCACGCTGGAGGGACGGGGGCCCCCCTCCTGTGCGTACACAATCATACGTGTGGGGTGTTCCGTGGTGCACGGAGGCGCAGCACACGCAGGCACGCACGGGCAATCTCCTATTGTTTACGATTGCCCAACTGCTAGCGGAGCATATCCGCGTAGGCACGTGCGGGTGGATAGAACATCCACCTCCAGCCCTTTGGCGCCCACAAGCGCCTTCCAGCTTCCAGTGGATGCCCCTGCGTGCGTTGGAAAGCTGCCCTCTTGTCAGTACTATCCAGTTTGATCAGTGTATGCATCACGACGGGAATCCAAAGGAACACGGCAGAGGTGCTACACGCATCCTGGCCCTACGGCTACCACGACTTCACAGTTTGTTGAACGTTCGAAATAAAGGTTTCTGCGACCACGGCAAGAATGCGCACTTGTCCCTTGTGGGCAAGAACGACGACGGCACTTTCAAAACGAGTTGCAAGAAGACGTACCCACCGCCCATGTGCCGTGCTATCGCTACAGCTATGATGGATGCCATCAACACAGCTTTTACCTCGGAGGCAGAAGATCCTCCAGAGATTGCCGCTACCACGGACTTCGATGATGCAGTTATTCGCAAATTTATGTACCTTGGTCGGACCACGAACAGTTCTGGGAGGCTCCCGACTATGCCGGCAGCCTCAGGGTTAAACGTAAAGTTGATCCTGAAAGGTGGCGTTGGGATCCTCCTGACTCCCCTTCCTCCGCCTCTGCCTCCCCCCTGGCCCCTGGTGACCCCGCCTTGCCTCCCGAGGTCCCTCTGTCCGTGGCCCGAGAGGATCCTCGGCCGCAGGAGCCGGCCTACGACCTCGAGGCGGACGAGGAGGCCGCCCAAGAGTTGGGCGCGGACAGCCCCGCCCCTGGCTCGGCTACCTTAGTCGACTTCCCTCCTTCTCCTCCTCCGCTCGCTCAGCTCACGCCTGAGCAGCTCGAGCGCATTCGAAAGAATCGTGCCGAGGCCAGAGAGCGCAAGCGCAAACGCGTCGCGCCCTGGCATTTCGAGGCCATCCTGTGGCCCGATGGGTAATTCAGTTTTGTTCCTTTCTCGGCCCCAGGGCGACACCGGCCCCAGCGGACCTTCAAGGCACAAGACTTCACGAGATTGACAAAGCACGACCCAGCGTCCCAGCCTGCGTCCGACCGACCGTCGTCTTCGTTGGCGACGTCGTCGTCGTCTTCGTCGTCGTCGGCGTCGGCGTCGTCGTCGTTGTCGTCGGCGTCGTCATCGTCGTCGACGTTGTCATCGTCGTCGGCGTCGGCGTCGTCGCCGTCGCCGTCGGTGTCGTCGTCGTCGTCGTCGTCGTCGTTGTCGGCGTCGTCGAAGTCGTTGGAGACGTCGTCGGTGTCGTCGTAGTCGTTGTCGGCGGCGTCGTCGTCGTCGCTGTCGCTGTCGTCGTCGGCGTCGCTGTCGTTGCCAAGTTCCATTTGGTACCCACCGTCACGGTCTTAAGATATTTGTCATACCAAGTTGCTGGTGGGTGGGTGGGATGTTTGCGCGAGCAGTGGAGTGGACAACTCACTGCGAACAGAAATTAATTGCACCACATAGATTGCACCACATAGAGTACAGAACCTACGTTGCACTTCACACGGAGTGCACAACATTAGTTGCACCACATAGATGGCACAACGTAGAGTGAACAACATAGACTGCACAACAAATCTTGCACCCCTTAGATGGACACCATAGCTTGCACAACATAGTTTGCACTACCTGAATTGCACCACAAACATTGCGCAACCTAGACTGCACCACATAGATTGCACCACATAGATTGCACCACATAGATTGCACCACATAGATTGCACCACATCGAGTGCACCACAAAGAGTGCAGAATATAGATTGCACAAGAAAGATTGCACCACATGGATTGCACAACCTATACTGCACCACGTAGACTGCACCACATATATTGCCTCACGTAGATTGCACCACATCTATGGCACAACATAGCTGGCACAGCAGAGGTTGTTAGAAACTCGTTGATTCGGGTCCACGCAGGGTCAGTGGCCGACGCGGTCCATTAAGGCTTCCGCGCCCCTTGTTTGGTATTACCATGTGGCCCAAACAAGGTGCCAGGGCTTGGCCGTAACCTGGCGGGAGGAGGAGGAGGAGGAGGAGGAGGAGGAGGAGGAGGAGGGGGAGGAGGAGGAGGAGGAGGAGGAGGAGGAGGAGGAGAAGAAGGAATAAGAGGAGGAGGAGGAACTGGAAAGGGAGGAGCGCCCAGATCCTGCAGCCCTGGCGCGCAGGGACCGCCCGGCCCTCGCTGCAGCCTGGCCTGGCCCCCGCACGCCCTCAGACGGAGGCCCACGTTGGACCCCCAGCCCTGGGCATTCTGACCCGCAGGAAGAGGAGGAGCAGGAGGAGGAGGAGGAGGAGCGAGCGAGGAGGAGGAGGAGGAGGAGGAGGAGGAGCCCTCGCTGTGACGCGGCTCTCCCTGGGCGCGCCGGGCCCCTCGGGAGCCGTGGCGACTCTCTGGCGAGGGCCCGGGTCACCGGAGAACTCCCCCGGACCACCCAGGCTGACACCAGCAGCCCTTCAGCACCTGCACAGCATCGGAGAGGCAAGGCGTCTCGGAGCGCGTGAGGTTTTTCAGCAGGGGTCCGCCTCTCGCCCCATGCTGAGGGCGAGCTCAGCGGTCGGGGGAAGGCTGGGGACAGGGCCGACCCCCGCGGAGATCGGCGGCCGCGGGGGGCAGTCTGTGACAGGGCCGACCCGACACCGACGACGACGACGACGACGACGACGACGACGACGACGACGACGACGACGACGGCGCCGACGACGACGACGGCGACGACGACGACGACGACGACGACGATGACGACGACGACGACGGCGGCGGCGGCGACGACGACGGCGACGGCGACGGCGGCGGCAGCGACGGAGAGCGCCAGAGCCGGCGGCGGGGTCGGGCCAACGAGAGCGCGAGCTCGGAAGCGGCGGAGGGCAGCGCTCGGGCCAGTGTCGGGTCGGGCGAAAGGGGGGGATTGGGAAAGGGGGGGTTACGAAATTTGCTGCATGCAGCTGGTTTCGGCCTCACCGAGGGGCCCATTCCTCGATACATTGGCGCCTCCCGGCGCCGGGAGGCGCCGGGAAAATCAGCTACGCGAGCTGATTCTCAAACCCCCCCTTTGCTATCCCCCCCTTTTGCCCGACCCGACAGTCGGGGACAGTCATCGGGGCACATACAAACAAACGACGTCGCCTTCGTCGTCGTCGTCGTCGGCGCCGTCGTCGTGGCCGTCGTCGTCGTCGTCGTCGTTTTCGTGGCCGTCGTCGTCGCCATCGTCGTCGTCGGCGTCGTGGTCGTCGTCGTGGTCGGCGTCGGCGTCGGCGTCCTCGCCTTCGTCGTCGTCGTCCTCGTCAGCGTCGGCGTCGGCGCCGTCGTCGTCGTCGCCTTCGTCGTCGTCATCGTCGTCGCCGTCGTCGTCGTCGTCGTGGTCGTCGTCGTCGTCGTCGTCGCAGTCGTTCGGAGGTTCGCGCGGACTTCTCGGATCGGCCCCGGAGCCCTCTGGGGGCGCCCCCACCGCCGCCCTTGGCGCGCTCCGCGCGCCAAGGGAGGGGCGTCGAGCGCCGATTCACCCTCCCTCCTTCCCTCCCTCCTCCTCCTCCTCCTCCTCGCCCTCCTCCTCGCCCTGTCCGTAGCCATTTTGGCTCAAGATGCCTGGTTCCTTTGGGGCCAAAACGGATACCGCTAGTCCGCGGCCAGTTCTCAGAGTTTTTCGCCTTCTCTGCAGGAGTTGGGCGCCTGCCTTTCCAGTCTTTCCCGAGCTGCTCTCGCCATGGTCCCCCCGCCCTGGCGCACCGAGGATGGCTGGACCAGCGTCGGCGGAGGCAAGAAGGGGAAGAAGTTCCAGACGTACACGTACTGCTCGTGCGGGCATTGGACGTACGATCGTCTGCTGGCTCGCCGCGGCTTCTGCGTGGGTTGCGGCACGGCCATGCAACCTACTGGTGGTGGGAAGAGTGGTGCAGGAGGAGCCAACGGAGCTCCCAGCGGTGGCGGCGGCGGTGCGTCTGGTGTGGATCCCGCGGCAGTGGCAGCGGCCAGGAAGGCGGCCGCACTGCTGCCCCCCGCTGCTGCAGCCGAGTTGCTTGCTACCCTCAAGATCAAGCCAGATCCTCCCCCACCGATGCCCCTCGGCGAGGCCGAGATCAGCTCCGCCGAGGCCAAGAAGCGTGCTGCTACCCGTGCGGTCCAGCAGGCCATCGACGCCCGCCTCCGCCTCGAGGAGCAGATCGCTGCAGCCGACAAGAAGGTCGACGAAGCTATCAAGAAGGAGGAGGAGGCCCAGCAGGCCGTCGAGCTGGCTGCCCGCAACCTCGCTGCGAGGGTCCTCCCAACGCCCGAGGAGACGCTGCCTTCATCGGGCTCGGTGCTGCACATCGGCGCGCTGCTGGAGGATCCTGACTCGGTGCGGCTGGATTTCGGCGAATCGATCGATGTCACGGGCCCCGCTTTCTCGGATGAGGACAGAGCGAAGTTCAGCAATTTCGCCGAGCAGCAGCGCATCGCTGCCACGGAGCTCCTTCGCAAGGCTTTCTCGGGCGTCGCCGAGCAGGCCAAGAAGCTCCAGTCCGAGTACGTATCTTACGTCAAGCAGATCCAGAAGAAGCGCAAGACGGAGGACGGCCAGGGCGTTGCAGTCCAGCAGCCGTCGGCCCCTCCCGCAGCGGCGGCCAGCTCCCCTGCAGGCGCTGCGGCGGAGGCCAGCCAGGAGCCTCCTGGCCCAGCGGCGCCTGCCGCCTCGCCCACGCCCGCTGAGGCCGCCGAGCTGGAGGCAGAGCGGCGTCGGGAGGCCGTCCGCGCCGCCAGCGCGGCACGCGCAGCTGCCAAGCAGGAGGCGGCGGCGGCGGCCCCCCCGCGGGGGTAGCCTGGGCGCTGACGACGAGGGCCGCTCCCTGAGGCTGGTGTACGGGAACATCTCGTGCTGGGGGCCCCAGGCTGAGCGCTGGCTGGCGGAGACGCTAGCAGACGTGGTGGTCTTGGTTGAGACCAGGGTGAGGGGTGTTAAGTACACCCAGATGTGCGCTGCCGCGAGGCGGCTGGGCTGGAAGGCTGTTGGCGGAGAGGCTGACGCCACGGAAGCCTTTTCCACGTCGGCGGGGGTGGTGATCTTCGCCCGCGCCCGACTTGGGCTCGCCTCGCTGTGCCTCGAGGCGAACGGAGGCTGGACATCAAGTTCCTGTTCGCGCTGGTGCGTGGCCACCCTCAGGCTGCGCCGCGTCACGCTCACCATCGTTCCGATCTACATGGTCTCGGGCGAGGAGTTGGGCGGCCGCAACCTCAAGTTGCTTTCTCAAGTGGGTGCTCGGCTCGGCCAGTTGGCGGGCCCTCTCTTCATCGTTGGGGACTGGCAGTCTGTGTCCAGCGAGCTTGCGACGACTGGCTTCATGGCGGCGCTTGGCCTGGTCGAGGTGCAGTCGGGTTTGCAGGTCACGTGTACTGGCGGCAGGGGCGCAGGGCGTGCCATCGACTACGCCCTGGTCTCGTCCTCCTTCGCGTCGGCTGTGCAGTTTGCAGGGGTCGACGTCTCGGCCCCGTGGGGGACCCACCTCGCGCTCTCCTACAACATCCTGGCCAACCCGAGGTCGCTCATGGGCTGGTGTGTGGTCATGCCGAAGGCGCTGGACATCTTTGTCGCCTCCAACGAGAGCTACGACCTGGACTGGGACGCCGCCCTCTCTGAGGCCCGTGCCTTTCGCCAGCGCTTTTCTGCCCGTTTTACCTCTAACTTTGAGACGGCGAGCCTCGCCATTGCAGATCACGATGTGCCGCAGACTGCCCTTTTGCTCGGAAGTCAGCTCGGGGAGTGGGCCCTAGCTTTGGAGTTTGTGCATTGTGCCAAAAAAGGTATACCTCGCTCGCAGTGGCCTCTGTACGTAGGACGATGTCAGCAGCCTCGCCTCAAGTACGTTCCCATCGTGCCTCGTGCCAGCGACGGCCCTCCTCTCGCTGACCGCCATGCCCGTTTTTGGCAGGCCCTCGCTGTGCAGGCCTCCTTGCTGTTGCGTTTGGCTGATCCCGAGGCGGACCCATCCGAGGCATCTACTCCGCGCGCCGGCTGCGGTGAGCAGTTCTGGAGCACGATGCGTGGGCTTGAGGCCCTGCAGCTGCCCCCGCCTTTTGATCCGAACGACGCGGTGGAGGGACCGATCCTTGAGCGTTGGATCTTTCGGCTCCGCCAGCTTCGCTCGCTGTCGCTTGACAGCCTTCAGCAGATCGCGGAGGAGGCTAAGGAGCAGGGAGTCCAGGCTGCCCAGCGCGCGGCTGCGGCGGCCCGTGCGCGCTGGCGTTCCTGGTTGTCCGACGCTTTGGCGGGTTCTGCCAGCAAAGCCCATAGGCTCCTCCGCGATCCTCCCGCCTTCTGCCGCGCCGAGCCTGTCTGGGACGGAGAGCCAGCCTCCACGCCCGCTGCCGTGCTAGAGGCGGAAGGCGCTGCGTGGCACGCAATCTGGTGCAAGCACTCGCGGCCCGAGGCTTTGGAGGCCCTCGCGAGGATCCGCCGTGCGGCTCTTTCGTCAGACTGCTTCGAGCCTGTCACTCCTGACCAGGTGAGGGGGGCGCTAAAGACCGTTCCTGATCGTCGGGGGAGGGGGATTGACATGATGCCGCCTCGCCTGGTCAAGGATGCGCCGCTTGCTGCTATCGCTGCGCTCGCGGCCCTTCTGACGGCCATCGAGCGCGAGGCCACAGTGCCCTTTCAAGAGTTGTTCAACCTCATCGCCTTGCTGGATAAGGAGGATGGAGGCCTGAGGCCCATCGCCCTGCTCAATTTCAGTTACGTGCTGCTATGCCGCATCAGGAAGCCTGAGATAGGCGCCTGGGACCGTGACCAGCACGGCGCCTGGGACAAGACTGTGGGTGGATCGGCCGACCTGGCTGGGTGGTTGGACGAGCTGGAGGGGGAGCTTGCGCTCCTGGGAGGCTTCGAGGTTGCGGGTGGACTGCTCGACCTTCGGAAGTTTTACGACCTGGTGTCTCTGCCTGACTTGGCGGCGGCTGCCCAGGATTTAGGCTACCCTCTCCGCCTCCTCGCTCTCGCCCTCGACGTCTACCTCGGTCCTCGACTCCTCACCCTCCAGCGCCAGGTGCACACAGGTATCTTGCCTGGCGGAGGCATCCTCGCTGGCTGTGGCCAAGCTGTCTCGCAGGCGCGTGCCTACCTGCACGCCCCGCTGAAGGCGGCTCACTCTTTGGTGCCAGGGTTGCGCCTGAGGGAGTGGATCGACGACCTCGCCTTCCGTCTTTTCGGCACTGAGCACTCGCTCAGCTTGGCCTTTCCTGTGGTGCTGCGCGCCCTCTTTACGGGCCTGCGCAGGTTGCGATGCGAGTTTTCCCTAGGGAAGTGTGGCCTCATGGCCTCCTCTGCTGCCATCCGTGCCTTGCTGCCCGCGTGGGCGTCAGCGGCCGAGGTCGGGGCTGGTGGCCTCAGGACTGTTCGTGTTGCCCGCGACCTCGGCCACGACACATCTTTCGGTGCCTCGCGTTCTGTGAAGGTGCGCAAGAAGCGTTTCATGAAGGGCAGGCGCGCCGCCCTCAAGATCTCGGGTCTGGTCAGGTCAGCGCCGCGAGCCTCACGCCTCTTCGTCTCCAATGCCCTGCCGAAGTCGGTGTGGGCGCCCGAGGTGCACGGGCTGGCGCCGACCATGCTGAAGCAGCTGCGTGGTCAGGCGAGGCTCGCCAGCAAGTGCCCTCAGCGCGGCACGTGCGCTACTGTGGCCATTCGCATCAGTTTTGGGGCGCGGCGCGACCCGCCCATCTGGTACCTGCGGCACATCGCAGAAGCTTTTTACTCTCGAGTCCTTGGAGAGGACGGCCTCGCTGCGAAGGTCCAGCGAGGATGGGACGCGTCCCTGAAGCGGGTGGCGCGTGGCTGGAACTTCGTGCGCGGCCCGCTCTCAGCCTTTCAGGCCTCTGTCATTGCAGCTGGCTGGCAGTGCCCGTCCCTGTCCAAGTTGGTCGAGCCAGACGGGCAGGAGTGGGAGCTCTTCGCCACCTCCGTCGCCCCCGTCACCAGCCTCCTCGCGGCTCTGGAGCAGACCGCTGAGAATGCGGCTTGGCGACAGGCGGCCAAGCATCTTGACGGGGGTGGGGCGGAGGGTGGCGTTTGGTGGCAGCATGTGCCTGCACTGGCGGAACGGCTGGAGAAGGAGTCCCAGCACAGTCTTGCCAGCCTCGTTCGCCTAGTCGCCTGCGGAGGATACTGGACGGAGGAGCGTCGTCACCAGGCAGGCTACCGCACGGACGACCTGTGTCAGCGCTGCCATCGCTCCCGCGAATCCAGCCGTCATCGTTTCTGGGAATGCATGTGCAACTTCATGGAGAGGGACTGGGCGCTCTCGGTCGGTGTGCCTCCCCCTCCAGAGGCCGTGGTCTCCTCCAACCATATTCGCAGTCAGGCGTTGGAGGAGATCGACAGCGCCCCTGTCTTCTGGTGCCGCGGGCTTGTGCCCCTTGCCTGGCTGAACATCCCGCCTCCCCCCGACGAGCGTGGCCATCGGTGGCTGCGATGCGGCGTCGGGGCGCTGCCAGGGGGGATCTACGCCACCGACGGTGCAGGTGGAGCCTGGTCGTCTCAGCCCTTGCTACGGCGTGTGGCGTGGAGCTTTGCCCGCCTTGGCGACGGCCAGGGTCTGGACTGGGATTCTGGCTGCACGGGCTTGGTGGACGGCCCTGTGCAAACGGTGCCTCGTGCTGAGCTCCTGGCCGTTGTGGAGTGCGTCAGGGCCGTCCACCCTGCTGCCGATTTCAAGCTGTTTTCCGACCACGTGAATCACGTGAATGCGATAGCACGCGGACGCCGCCACTGCTACAAGCTCGAGCACGCGGACCTCTGGCACGATCTTTTTTCGCTGCTTGACGTCCGCGTGGGCCGCTTCGCGCTCCTGCACGTGCCCTCGCATCTAGCTGAGGACCCCGCGAAGTTTGCGCGTCTAGGCCACACTGTGCTGCCCGAGGCTATCTTTCTCAATGCAGTGGCCGACGGGCTCGCCGAGGAGCGGTCTGAGGAGGCCCAGCTTGATCCTGATGTAGCGCGTCGCGCTTTGGACTTGGTGGAGCAGGCCGAGGCCATCCTGCTCCGCAATGCTACGCTCTGTGCTGCCGCCGCCTCCGCCCCCAAGAGCCCTGGCCGTGAGGTTATCAAACCGAAGGTTTCTAGGGCTCAGAGGAGGGAGGAGCTGCTTTCTGGCTTCGCGGCTCGTTCCCAGCATGCCTTTGTGCCGACCGCTTTCGGCTGGTGCTGCAAGAGCTGTGGCCGATCGGTCAGGCGCACTCAGAGCCGCGCCCTCCACCTCCTGCGTTCATCGTGCTCGGTCCTGCGGCCGTCGCCTTGCTCGCCTCCCTGCCGCGTGGAGCTGCAGCAGCGAGGCCAGCTGAGGGAGGGGGACGGGGCGGTCGAGGACGGGGGGGGGGACGGTGTGTTGCCTCTCGAGCCTGCGGCAGAGCCAGAGGCGGAGGACACTGCTCCCGCGCCTCGGGTCTGCGTCAGGCTGCCGCGCTCGTACGAGGGGCTGCCGCCCATCGACGAGCAACTCTTTCGGTCTCTGGGGATGCCTGATCCCCCATCTCGTCTGCCTCCTGGCACTGGCATCGCTGGACATGTGCCGCATGCCTCTCACTTTTTGTGGCGCAAGGGCGCCATCACGTTCTGCAGCACCTGCGGGCGCTACGCGGACTCCAGGCCCTCGCTTCTTCTGGAGGAGTGCGAGGCGGCGAGGTACGGACCCCTCGCGCTGACTAAGGCGCAGCTGACTGCCCTGATGCGGCTGCGCAAGGGCCTCCCTCCCAGGCCTGGGGTCCGCGAGTGGCCCTCGGCGGGTGTTTAGCCCGCAGGTTTTGTTTGCCAGCCTGTCGCCCGGCCTTTTTGCTCTCGCGAATAGGGTGTGCGCCTGGCTGCCGCGCATTGCAAAAACTCCTCCTCGCCCTCCTCCTCCTCCTTCTCAAGAAATCCGCGCGAAGTTCCGAAAGCTCATTTTGATGTCCTTGCTCGCGTCTCTCAAGTCAGGGCCCCAGAGGCCAGGACACTGCAAGTCAGTATGCTGAAGATTCCAGCCGGACGAAACTAAGACTCAAGAAGGTTTCGACCCGCGTTTGCAGTCTGTTTGGGTACGCCAGTGTTCTGGTTCGCCAAAACCCCCGTCGATTTGGGGCCCTTCGACGTGGCCGAACCCTTTCCAACACACGGCAAGCATTTCCGACGAAAGCAAGAAAAGAATTTCTTCAGTAGAGGAGGCATTGTCTGTGGAAGATGTGAGCACGGCAGTGGATGCGGTAAGCGAGGAGAGTCGACGCATGTTTTTCTTTTCTGTCGTTGCCGTTCCGCCCGTTCGGCCTCGAATCCCTGAACAAAACCAAAGTCACGATATGCAGGGTGCCCGCTACTGTCCTGGAGACTGGATACACACGTTTTCTTTCAATTGTGACGCGTTCGATTCGTTTGCATTTATACTTTGTGTCAAACAAGTACCGCAGAAGACAACTAGTACCAGCTCGTGATCACCATTACTGGATTCTGCACAGGGTTATCAGGGGGAGTTCCAGTGAGTTCGGACTCTTCACCCCATGCATGTCGACCCTCCAGATTGGCCGGTGTCGCTATCATCGTTCTCGGCGCCCCCATCTTCGAAATGTTTGGCCCCCTTGGGGCTCGTGTTGGCTTCTTCCGGGCTCACGCCAATGGTCGGGACGATCGGAATGGGCACGGAAAGAATGTGTACAATTCCCAACAGCAGTTCCTGTTCATTTTGAACAGGACTCGCTGTCCGCGCCGCCGCGGACGTTGTTCTTTGAAGACAAATCCCGCCTGCGCAACAGCGGCCGCTGTTGGTTTTGGACAACGTTTGTTGTTCGGCATTGTACCCAATTTTTCCGTACCCATTTCGGGCGTTCAAAAATGGATTGGTTCTCGACCGAGTCGAGCCCACATTCACCATGCACCTGCTGAGTTGCCGTTGTGTGTCTTTCCTCTCGTCCAGACCTCCTGCGCTCCACCGGAGGCTTGGCGTCGGCCTTGCTGGACAAGGTCAAGAACGCCTCGCTTGGGGTTCCCGGCAGCCTTGGGTGTGCTGACGCCTTTCACCGTATGTCTGGTCTTTTTGCCTTGCTCATCACCCTAGCAGCACGCTTCTGGTCCTCCCTTGGTCCGGCCTGGCATACTCAGGGCAGTAACTGCATCAGCACAGGAGGCACAGAAGCACACCCCCTGCCCAGGGCAATGGGATCCAAAGCTCAGAAGAACATCTAATTTCATGAGTCCTGTCGCCTGGAGTCGTTGCCTCGCCACTCTTGAAGGGGCCACAAGGACTGGTCCAGCAAGGGCGGGGTTTTCATTTACAGGTAGTCCAATCATCCCGTCAAGATGGCAGCCTGAATGCACTAGCACTCCGCAGCACATTTGCATTCGCAAGTTGCACTTGCATATCAACATCTACCGTCGACACACCATGTGGTCTGACAAGTGCAAAAGGCAGTTTAAGAATTGGGGAGCGCGAGAGGAACACTTGGAGATCGGTGCATCATCGTGTTGCGCACGCACGGGATGTTTAGTTTCACCAGCCCCGAAATATTACGTGAGCCCTCCTCTTTACTCCCTTGTGGGGAGCTTATTCGGGTGTTGTTAAGGACTCGCTCTGGGGCTTTCTTTGGACCTGATTTGGAGCCTTATGTGGAGCAATCCGAGGCCTTGTTTGAAGTGCTCTGGGGCTTTATGTGGAGCCGCTTCGGGACCTTATTGGGAGCAGTCCAGGGATTTGTTTGGAGCCGATCCAGGGCCTCTTTGGGAGCCGCTCCGCGGCCGCTCCGAGACCTGACTTGGAGCCGCTCCGGGGCTCTGTTTGGAGAGCTCCAGGGCCTTCTTGGGGGGGAACGCTCTGTGGCCTTACAGTCGGGCCGAGGTATAAGATCGAGGTCCTTTCGGGGAGGGTACCCTCATGTTCTTCGTGCTTGTTGGATGCTCTTGTGCATCCTTGGGGAGTGTACCCTCGAATGGTCCTAGGGTTTGGGGTGTTTTGGCTGGCGGAGGGTCTCATGTTCTTCAAGGACATTCTTCTGGCCCAGGTCCGACTGTATCTGGAACGCTCCGGGGCCTTACAGCGAGCCGATCCCAGGTCTTGTCACTGGAGCGCTCCATTTGCGTTATTGGGAGCAGACTCTGGGCCTCGGTCGGAGCGAGCCGCGCCCTCATTCAGAACCTTCCTGGGGCTTTTCTGGGGCCGCCCCGAAGCCTTCTTTGGAGCCGCTCGGGGAACTTACTTGGAGCCGCTCGGAGGACTTCTTTGAAGCTGCTTCGAGGCCTTATTTGGAGATGCTCCGAGGCCTCATTTGGAGCGGGATGGAAGCTGATCTGTAAGATTCGATATGGGGCCTTCTTGAAAGCGCTTCGGGGCCTCGTTTGGAGAGCTTTTGGTGCCGCTCCGGAGCGTTATTCGGAGCGCTCCTGGGCTTATTTGGAGAGCTATAGGATCCGAGTTGGAGCCGATCTGGGGCCTTCTTTGGAGCCGCTCCAGCGCCCGTGGGCCTTATTTGGAGCCGGTCTTGGGTTTTTATTTGGAGCCGTGGGCTGGCCTCATATGAGCGGTTCTTCATACCTCTGACGCTACACTAGCGACTGGCCGAATGGAGCTTCTCAGAGAGCGAAATCGTGAGCGTTCCTGGTGGAACTCGAACGTTTGGGCACCCCCATTCGCTTTTACTAATGTTTGGCGGTGGTTTGCCGACGCTCCGGCCAAGTTATGATGTAATCATATAAACTACATGTCTGCACCGACAGCTTACATATGGCTGTCAACCGCACCCGTTCGGGTCGTGCACCCCCGCGTTTGGAAGCCAGCATGGGTACGCGCGGGTCCAGCACCCTGGCATTTGTTCACCTGCGGCGCGGCGTTCCCCCGAATAGCAGCAAAAGTGAAGAGGCGGGTCGAGGAGCATAAGGCTGGTTGATTGTTATAGCTCTCCCCTCGCTGAGGCCCGCCTGTCTGTATCCATTTGCTCAAGTCTTGAGGGCCGATGTGGCAGCGCCTCTCAGATCTGGCTCCCAACGGCTTGTTGGCATACCTCAGTCGGTGTCCCGCGGCCCCTCCTTGTCCATCAGTACCGGCTTGCCCAGCGCCCCCAGCGCTCACGTGCGGAGGCTGCCCGCCCTGCCCGGGCTGTCCCTCGTGCACCTGCGGTGGGCAAGCGTCGCCAGCGGAGTGCTCGGCGGCACCTTCGGCGACTCCCTGCCCCTGGAGCACCTGGCTGGCGCTGGGAGTGCTCATCGGCGTTGTGTTGAGCTGGCTCGCGATCTTCCTGCTCGGCGTGGCGCGCGGCTGCGCTGCACGAGCCCCGGGCGTCTTCTCGAGTTCATCTCCGACAGCAGCGGCAGTGCCCAACAGTCTCCAGGATGGACACGGTGGACATCCCCGAACCCCAAGTTCTCGTTCACTATCCCGATGACGGGGCGGGCCTCGAGTGGCACCATCGCATACTGGTCAAGAAGATCACAGCCGGAGTGTGGATTGCGATCACTCCCGATCTAGAGCTGGTGCGACACAATCTTCTCGAGCAGAGACACATCGTGCCCGAGCGCAACGCCATGTTCCACGCCAACCGTCGTGTTCAGACGCATGGCTTCGATCCTGTGCCGAGGGCGGACATCCTTGCCCTCAAGAGACAGGCGACTGTGCAGGCAGCCATCCTGGGCGACGACGGTCATGATGTGGAGATGGAGAACTGCTGATGGGTGATCAGCGAGACGCCCCACCTCAGGTTCGGGCAGGTCGAGCAGGCCACCCCGGGGCACAACAAGGGCGTCGCCATCGTGAGTGGCCTGGAGGTTTTTGTTGAGAAGGTCCAGTTCGGCCAGCTCGAAGCGTGGAAGACGGCGCGCCATGCAGGAGCTGGTGACCTACGACTTCTGGGTGATCATCGTGACGCTTCGGGGCGTCGACACCTCGCGCTCGCGAAGGCGGTCGCGAAGATGCGTGAGACTGACTTCGACGACTGGGTCATGCCAGGCTCCCGCGTCGCCAAGGAGTGGCTGGTCTCGATCAGGGACGGGCCCGGCGACATGACCTCTTACCATGGGAAGTGGGTGCGCCGATCGGGAGTGAGTGAGTCTTCGTGCGAGGCAGTCAGGCTGGCGATCCAGACCGACCAGCTCGACGTCACGAACTTGTCGAGCTTCGAGCTCATCATGCGAAGGATTTGCCAGGATGAGACTGCAGTGGCCCGTAACCTTCGGCATCCAGACAACGGAGGTCTGGAGATCGTCTTGCACGCCCCGACGACCGAGCAGGGCCAGGCCAGCACGAGCAAGTTCACAGAGTGGGCGACCGGTCGCCTCAAGGAGCAGGCCGCCATCTACAAGCAGATTCGGCTGCGGAACGAGGAGCAGCGCGCCCTGCAGTCCGCCCGCGGCTCGTCGGACACCGACAAGGGGCGAGGCCGCAAGGGCAATCGTGCCCGAGGCAAGAGCGACAAGAGTGCAGGCGGGGAAGAGGCCTCGGAGTGGCCGAGGCTTTCCGGGCTGAGTGCGATCCCCGAGCTCAGTCTGGCGCTGCCCCAGAGGATCGGGGACGGCCTACTCGTTGGAGGCCCTCAAGACGGCGGCGCGGAGATCCCTTCCCGCTGCCGCATTTTTCTGCGCCCCAGCTTGCGAAGCTCGACGCCCACCACGAGCAGCAACAGCGGGCAGTCTCGGCACGGGCTTCGCTCAACCATCTCGCCGCTGCTCAACCGAAGTCAAATACGCCCCATCTGGCTAGCCGGTCTGCTCGAGCCCCGACTGCAGTCCAGGACTGGACCTTGGACAGCACTGCGGAGCGCGTCGACGCTGCGGGCCCCCCCCCCCTTTCTCCGGCTTGACGGCCGAGGGGGCCGCGCGCGAGCTGCTGGCGCCCAAGGGCCTGTCTTCCCAGGAGCCGAAGAACCTCGCGCCGTTCGACTTGACAAAGCTCAAGGTCGCGAAGGGGCGTGCGCGGCCGCGCTCCGCGGCCAACTCCCTGCCACCGCTAGCCGCGGAGATGACCCGCAACCCAGCACAGTACATCGAGAAGGATGCGGGGGAGATGGAGTTCATGCGCCAGTCGACCGACCCTATCAGACCTGATTCGGATCCAATACTTCGTCCAAGTCGGCTGGAGCGTTGGCGTTTGTTTAGACGTCGGCTTCGTGCTCGGGCCGCTCTTTTTTCGCAACGAAGAAGAAGCCAGGCGAGATCAGAATGATAGTTGATGCGAGGCAGGCGAACTCCTGCCATCGTGCGCCGCCGACTCCAGGCTTGGGTCAGTTGGCGCCCTCGCCGACCTCGATTTCTCCGTCGGGGGCGGCTCGTTCGACGGCGTCGGCAGCATCGTCGGTTGGGGCCCCCACGGGAACGAGGCCGACGTAGAAGACTGCTTCTACAACTTTGCGATCGACGGCCTAGCTGAGTGGTTCGGCTTCGACGACCCGCTGCCGCATGCGACGATTAGGGACATCTATGGCATCAACGTCGGCGCCTTCTGGGACCCGGACCTGAAAAGGATGGTGTCGGCGGAGGACGACATGGTGCTCTACTCGTGCATGCGCGCCATGTGCATGGGGCGGTCGCGGGCCTTGCATTTCGCGCGGGAGGCCGCCTCAGCCACGACGGCTCGGGCCCTTGGCCCCCCCCCCCCGTCCGCGGAGCCCGCCACGGCGAAGGAGCACCATCCAGCCCCCGACCTCTGCGAGGCCAAGGTGATGGGCAGCGTCTACGTTGACAACATCACTGTGCTGGGCCGCGACGCGGCCCTGGCTCGCGAGGCTGCTTCCGCCCTGCGCGCTGAGGCCGAGCACTGCGGCCCCCCCATCACTTGGAGTTACCCGGACGCGGTCGCCCACCTCGAGACGGTCGGAGTCGAGATCGACCTCGAGAGGGGGCGCTTTCGGAACAGGGCCCCCCGAGCATGGCGCTTCGACCTCGCCACTCGGGCTCTGCTGGCACGGGGAAAGATGCGCGGTGAACACATAGGTCTGGCTCGGCCACGCGGTCTCGCTGCTGATGCTGGCCAGGCATGGCTACGCGGCGCTCTCGGCCGCCTA